AAGATACATCCCGTAAAATTAAGAGACTTTGTTGAATTTTAATTTTATGTTTGTAAACTATGTACATTTAATTAAGTTATTGGTTTAATGCAAGTGGCTATTGTTCGGGATGAACAATACTAAGGAAGGGGCAATGTTACGACAGCGGAAGTCACGCGATTCTGGAAGCATGCGGGCTGGAGTTTCTAGAAGGATAAAGTCTCTTCCTAGCTACTCTAGCCTTTTCTACCTGCCCTCTATTTTAGAATATAAGCAAGCAAATAATGCGACATAATTAATTCAATTTCAGACAGGCAGAGATAGAGACAGACAATCGAGTCAAGCGCGGTAGTGACCGTAAGTAAAGTGTGTGAATCATTGTGAATTATAGTGTGTTTAAGTTAAAGTGACTGTGGAAATTAAGTGTATTGAGAAAGAATAAACTAGTTTTATTTAAGAAAGGACTTGTATCGCTGAAGTTTTTCATTAATGTAAGTGAACTGGTCAGAATATTTGTATATAGCGTTAATATTATAGTTTATCATCTTAGATATAAAGAACTATAGTAATTTTTACTTATTGTAATAGATATAAAAAAAAGTATCATTTGTTGCCTGTGGTACTGTTTCAGATTACAGTTATTATATTAATACTAATTACTTAAACTGCATTTAAACAGTTAAATTACCAGTATAAAGTTTTTGATTAGCTGTCCTATATATTTCAGGTGTTTTATGAAGTGTCATATTAAGTATGCCATACATTTAATTTCTATCTTCAAAGAACATAATTATGCTCCACTGATCAGATATTTTTCTTGATGAAGGATTTCATGGTGATATCTAGACGATGGGCATCACCAGTCTGTTTCACATGCTTCTATTGAACTTGAATGTATGCTTGACTCCTGTCTTGCTGGTTTATACAGTTGAGCATTATCTCTGTAATTCTGTTCTGCTTCTTTAAACTTTTTACCTGTTTCGAAGAACTATAAAACAAATGAAAAGAAATAATACTAATATTAAACTTAGTCATACTTGTATCAAAATGTGAACTCGTTTTTTTTAACCTACTTTTATTCTAGTACAACTTTCTTGGTGCTTCGTAATTTATAAATATTTTGAGTTTTAGATATTTGTTTAAGATGTCTATTTAGTCTAATAGAACTGAAAAAATATAGCATTGTTAGAACTCGATTGTGTGAAGATTAAAAGTTATTCATTAACATTATTAGTAATAATTCTAAGAATTAATGAGTAATTTATAGGTATTGTCCTACAGATAAAACTAATTTCTAAAGTGCAAAGTGTGTGTATGATAAATTTGCGAGTTTATGGTTTTACTCTACTATATCTACATGAAAATAAAAGTGACTTTCCTGGCACATAAAATGTTTTATTTAATGATCAGCATTTACAACAAAAACTCATTTTTCATAAATCTAGACTTAATCTAAGTATTCTTAAGACTTTGTTACAGGAAGGACAAGTCCAATTCCTAGCTCTTAAACTATATACAAATTAAAAAACAAAAAAAAAACAACAACAAATATTTGGACATAGAAGTTTTCAAAATGGAGCAAATTTTATTGACAAAAGCTGAAAAAAGTTAAGTAACCTTCCAATTCTGTCACATTTAAAACACAATCCTGAAATATTAACAGGTTTAAATCCTACACCAAAATCCTGATCTCTCATCACTTACAAAGAAATGCTCTCTCATATATCTTCCTTAGGGTAATGATATTTGAGCATTTGCAAAATTTGTGATTCATGAAAATGAACATTTTAGCGTAAGAAGGGATGTGCCCTGTTTTATTATGTAGTCATTAGTAGTTGTCTGATAAACATCCCTAGCTAACATGTGAAATCTGCATTGGGATTTTCTTCAGAAAATCTTATGTGAAAACATACTTTTAAAAAAGATCATCTCTAGAAAGTAATCACTTCTTTTTTTACTATAGCATTTTCTTTAACCAAAAAGCTCAGTAAAATGTGGAGGAAAAATGGTGCTTTAACTTTCTGTTAAACTATCTAATTGTTGCAAGATTTTAATAAGTCAAAATATTGAGTATATGACCATGACAGCATCTTTTACTTTGTTTTAGTGCTAAGTTATTAAACCCCTGTTTTTTGATGAGCAAGTTTAGCAAAAAAAAACCGATCAATAGCTCACCAACCTCTTAGTATTATTACTATATACACAATACTTGCAACATGTGTATGTCTACACATCTTTTGAGAAAGATTAGTTTTATTGTATCAGTGTATCATCGTCTATTAGCTAACAAGAAGTAGCCATGTAGATATTCATATTTTGAAAAATGTCTTTGCTGGTAAAGTTCTTTATAATACTGAATAAGGAGAAATATGCACAACAGCATCTATTTACACTTAGTTTTAAAAGTCTGCTTCTTACAGTAATTTTATGAAACAAATCAAAATCCTGTAAAAACTGTTCTCTCCAAACAGCCATCTCTAATTACACTCACATAGCTTCAATGAATGTACCTTGTCCAGTAGCATTTATTTAAGTATCATTGGGACAAGTATGTAAGCAGCAGTGTTTTATGAGAAAAAAAAAGAATTATCTGTGAGAAAATATCCTACTTTAAGTTTTTAAAAGCTTTTACTGTATGTTAACTTAATCAGTGTTTTTGAATTTTTCTGCCACACTTCACAGTTTGCCACTCCATACGTAAACAAACATATAAAACCTTAAATGCTTATTCATATTTCACCTGAAACACAATAGGGTTCATATATTTCTTCTTAAACTAGAAACTATCTGGGAAACTTATATGGTTAACCTTATTTTTACCAATGCATTGAAATATATCACAAAAATGACACATGCTGATCTTTAATACTCATAAGCTAATCTCTTAAATAAGAAAACTCCTATTACTAAATATACAAATTAATAAATTTTACTACACAAAGCACCATTTTATGTACAACACTGAGTATTTACTTATTTGGCTTTACCAGGTGTAAGTTTTTGTTCTTTTTGTTGTCTTTTCTAAATAATATGCTTTATGTTTGCCTTAATTTCTAGACAATTATCCTTTATTTTTGACTAGGTTCCCCTTTATTTAGCGAAGAATATGGTGAGAGAACTGATAAATGTTATTACGTAGCTTTGAAAAGTGGGTAGCCATTATGACTAGAGCTATTCACTGACCACTATAAGAATTCCAATATTTCAAAGAAAGACTGAAAATTCAGTCTGCTGACAGATAATGAATCTTTATTGCTTATATTTTAATGTTTTTTTCTGAATAACAAACATTTTCTGTAAACAAGCATAGTTTGGGTGCAACAAATTTGCTAAACACATCCAAACTCTACCAAAGTTATCATTAAAAAAAAAGCTGTCAACAGTTGATATTAAGGGTGGCCTGTTACGTTAAATTATGCAGCCACTCCTGTATTATTATTCTTCAAATGCCACTCTTAGATAAATAAATAATCACTTACAACACAATGCAGTTTATAACAAAACACAATTTTGAAATTGAAGTAGCTGCCATACTTGTGGAGCTCAGAGCAAGACATTACTAGCTATACAAATATGTACACCATGTGACATAGATACTTAAATTACATACAAGATGCCTAACAGATTTTTCATTCAAGCAATTACTAATGTTGTCAAACAGCTGGTAGTTATAAAGGACTAAGAAAAGTACCACTTTTTTAAAGCTTACACTACAATGATCTAAACCAATTCTCTTGGTAACAAAAAATGTACAGAAAAAAAACATGCAATGTATATTTGAAAGCTAATTTACACAAATCACGGTGAGTAAAGTTTTTGTCAAAACAATATCCAAATTTAAATGACCCAAATATATGAAAAGACTAGAATGATTTAGAGAAACTTTTTTTCAAGAAAATAACAAGCCTTCCTAAACACCTTCATGACTAGATATGTCCAAGTTAAAAATAAATAAGTAGAGAAATTGTTTCTTTATATATATATAGAAGATTTTCCACATTCTTCTTAATGTTTTTCCACAAAAAATAGCAGTAGTAATTATAATGTTTCAGCCACCATAATGAAATCTATTGATGCCAGGCTGGCTGGCTATTTTTTTTAATTCCAAAATTGATGTCACTCATCTCAGTCAGGGGAGTTTCCACAAGAAGAATTACTTCCAGTCATTACAAGGTCACTAGGTGAAAGCGGTCGATACCTACGTCGTCTGGCAGTAAAGTAAAAAGAGCAATAAAATCATGAGCTTTGAAGATCAAGGTTTGTTGAACCTTGCAAGTTATACCATCTGTTGATGGGTAATGTAAAAGATGAATGGAAAATCAGTTCTAACATTACATAAATATTTGTATTGTATAATTCAAAAGACCTTAGGTTTTATGCACTAAATTTGAGAGATTAAAAATGTAGTCTTCATTCACATTGTTTTTTTACAGTTCTAAAATTTATAATTATCAGCAACTCTCAGATTATTAAAATTTATATTCAGGGTGCTCTCATTGGAACTAGTAACATGCCTCAGCCTTTACAGTTCTAAAAAGTATAAGTTAGACTGGGACTACTAACCTTGCTGGTACGCAGCTGTTTGGGGGAGGATCTCCTGGTGGAGGTCTAGGACTACGACTAATAGCACCCAGGACAACTGGTTTTTGAGATGACTGCTGTAGTAATCTGTCTGTATGGATATGCATAAGCTTGGTTGAGCTTTGGTGACTATCTGATGCTGTCTTTTCAGAAGAAATGCAGTTTTCATAAATGTGGGTGTTAGGGTCTAAAAATGTTTGTCGACCTTTTGGTACTGGAATGCGAGATTCTTCACAAATTGTGGCCGGACGTTGTCGTCTTCGTTGGAACTTTGAATTCAGTTCAGTTTCATCTTTATCAGACAAGATTTGTCTGTGTCTTCTAAATGTAGGGCCTTCTTCATCTGTATACTGGTGATCAGAACTCTTAAGCTGAGTTGCCTTATTATATTCAGTAATCTGCTCATGTCTTATATCTTCACTGGCGAGTCCTTGTTTGTAAGACTGAGATCTTCTGTCTTTTTGTGCACTTTTTGAGATTCTATCAGACATTAGACTAGTATTAGTTAAATCTTCTGGACTTACTGCTGCATGTTTTGAGGAATGATAGCTCTTGACTCCATCATTGGCCACACACCTAACACCACCTTCAATCATTGACCTAGGTCGTCTTTGTTCTCTACTAACATCTAGAAACCTCTGATGAGCCTGGAATGAAGCTTGAGGACCTTCTGATTCCATGCTTTCCTTCTGTGACTCAAGCAGGCGAACAGGAATACGAGAAGGTTGGTTTTCTTGTGAACCACCCACATAAGCAAGCTTTTCCTGGTTACTTAACCCACTCATGCTTTCTCTGCTAGAAGACATTTGACTACAGTAATGGCTTTGACCAATCTTCTTACTGTCCACCAATGCTAATTGATTTGTGCAATGTTTTTGTAAAATTTCTATTTCTTTTTGTAGTTCTTTCCCAGAATGCTCTGTTTTTAAAACCTCATGGAAAGCTTCACAACTCTGTCTTGATGCAGGTAAATGTTTATTTCTTCCTCCATGAGAACTAGGAATATTTTCCAACTCATTACTAACATTTGGAGGAGGAGAGGTACCTCTGCTCATATTATTAGAAGTACTGGCATCAGAACTTTTGATTCCCAGCAAGCGGAAAGCCTCTGGCAGTTCATTCAAACTAATCACCGAAATCTTTTTCCGTGGTACTGCAAAGAGCTGGATTTGATCTTCTTTTGGTGGAGTACCAAATTCTTCTCTAGAAATTTCTTCTTCAGTCTCTTCCCTTGATGGAGCTTGAGCAATCTTTCCCCTTGAGATCTTACTTGATTTTTCTTTGGTTAAAGTTTTGTTTTCAGTAACCTGCAAGTTATGAAAATAGTCATCTTCTTTTGGTAAAGGGGCATCAAAGTAAACAGATGGCTCCTCCACTTGCACTCGTCCTTGATCATTATCTAATGTCTCTAGTTCAAGTTTATTTTGTGATTCCATTTGCATTTTCTTGAAATTTTCAGCTGGTTCTTCTACTGGTACTCGGAATGTCTTTTTTGTTGATAAATTTTCTTCTTTACAGTTATCTCGGGAAGAAAAACATTCTACATTTGGTTTCTTAAGAATTCCCTTGGAAGGAGGAATGTTTGATTTCTGAACAAATTTAGAATTTTCTTTGTTGGATCCATCAATATGTTTTAAACTCTTGCCTTCTCTTTTTATATCTTGTACGAATTCCTTTTTTTCATTGCAGTTTGGAGTCTTATATTTTCCTTTTGCTCCCATACTTTCAATTTTCTTCTCTTTACTCACAGGTTCTGATTCAACTACATCAAATCTGTTTTCTTTTTCATGAGAATTAAAACAGATAAATGGAAGTGAAGCCCTTCTTTCCCCATTGTTTTCATGATCACTTTGTTCAGGTGACTGTTTTGCAGCTACATTCCTCATAACATCAACTTCATAGACATTCTCATCAAATGAGGCTTGTTGCTTTAAGGGCGGCTGTAGGTTAGAGCGAATGTGGAAGCAAAATGAAGGGCAACTCCATACTCGTGGCAGACCCAGAGGTACAGATCCAGGAATAGGAAGACCTCCTAAACTAACATACCGATTATTTGTAATGTTATCATTTTCAAAGTTTATTCCATCAAGAGGAATATCTGGAGGAAGTTTACTAGGATGAGAGAGAGAACGTTGTACTGGTCTCCTTCCTCTTTGTAGTTCACAAATATTAGATTCCTGTTTTGATTGGTCTGCTGGTTGTTGAGATAACTGTCTGCTTACTGGCCTTCTTCTTTCTTTTGGTTTACAAACCTCTAATTCCTGTTTTGGCTGGTCCATTTGTGGAGATAAAAGTTTGTTTTCTTGAACTTTCATTTCCTCTGCTTCTTTTGCTTTCACTTTACAAGATGGTAACTGATTTCCTATTCTTTTTTCCTCATTAGAAGATCTTTTATTATGTGCTCTTCCATTTTCAACACAGACTGAGGATAGGTTCTTGTGAAGTGAGGTACCTGAAGGATCTCTTTTGATAGACCTATGTTCAGGTGAAGTCACTTGAACATTATCTTCCATCTCATTATCTGTTTCTTCACTGTCATCAAAAGACATCTGCCACTTTGAAACCAAAGTCATGGCAGCAGCAGCACCCTTTGTGACTTGCTGCAGAGCTGATATGTTATCATCTTCAGCTACAGCAAACTGAGTGAAGGAGTAATCTCTGCATCGAGATCTGCTACCTGAATGGTACCGCCGATGTCTTGGTTCGCGCTGACCCTGTTCTCTTGTCTCTCGTGCTAAATTCAACTCTGTTACTGGGGTGTTAACTTGTGGAGCATGCTTACTCATTTCATTCTGTGTTGTGGCCACTACTCGATTACCTTGTTCTTGTTGATTAACTTCACTATCACATATTTGGACACTTTCCATGTTTATTTCTGGTCGCTCACTAATATATTCATGTTCTTGAATTGGACCAATTGGAAGCTTTGGTGGATCTCTTCGTGATCTGGATAATCTTCTAGAACTAGGCCTCTCCTCTGTTTGCTCCTCACTGACAGTATGAACATCTGCAGAAACCATTCTAATATCACGATGATGACATGAAGAATCTCTCTCATCTCGTACTTTAACATTTTGTACATCTTCCTTTTCAATGTCCATTTTCTGTAAACAAACAAAAGAAAAATGTTTAGCTTTACTTTTGTTATCCCCGATTTATAATTTCAATAAAAATGTTTTCCTTTTTTCTAAATTTAATACAGCAACCAAAAAAACTATTTTAGGGCAATACTTCTGATATGGTCTTACTTCAACTACTGGTTCCTCCATCTCAACATCAGCTTCTTCTTCCTTATCAACTATGTTGTTGTTATTCTCAGTTGAAGCAGTGGGTTGAACTATTGCCACATGACAAAGGTTGTCAGGAACAACACTTTTGTTAAGAGAAGGAGAAACAAAAACTTGAACCTTTCGATTTTGTAACATCTGCTCATCCCTTACTTTGCTGGTACCATGGTAACCATCTTGATCTTCGTAACTGACCATTATATTGTCTTCTAGCATGTTTTCTGTACCATGAGTTCCAGGTAAAGCATTTCTACAAAGATAGGATAGTACATTAGTTAATGAATAATAAGTGTGACAGAACAAATTTATAAAAAAAAATTTGTCTTCTGTCATTTTCAAAGAAATACAGACCTATATACATGCATTCATACCCAAGAATACAAACCAACTATTTCTATAATGTCATTTGTAAATAAATTCAACATATAAACATAGGTTCAGCTCAGTAAAGACCACAGAATACAAACAGCCATACCAATCAATCCCAGGAATTAACTATATGTTTATAAGGTTGCATAACTGGGTGATGGGATGGGAGGGAAGTCAGTCAATGAGAAATTGCAAGACCATTTCCAATACTGTTGTCAACAGCAAATAGGGTGAAAAGCAGTTCCCTTGTAAAAAAACAACAAAAGTTTATGCATGGCCCAAGTGCCCAAAACCAACACACGCAAAATAGCTGTAAATGTTCTACAATATCAACAGAAGTTATCTTCACAGCAAGGGTTACAAAAACCCAGTAGCTACATGTAAGCCAATACTCACTCCAGCAATACCATATATTGACAGCAGTGGGTATCACAGATGCTATTACTTCCTCCTGCCTTTTAAGACTTTGTAATTTTTCCCAATGAGTCCAACTGTGGACAATTTTCAAAAATTGAACACACATGGATTTAGCAACTATCTTCCCAGGAAATTTTACTGAACCATATTCAACCACTTATGGCAAAAGATCTGCAATGGAACATTAACTAAACCTTAAAGAAGACTGCTTAGATATGTACAGACAAAATTCTATTCAAATCCCTTTTAAAATCATAAGAAATATATCACAAAAATATTTTATTGCACAACAGCCTTAAAAAAGATTGTACAATGTTTTCAATCAAACATATACCTATTGATTAACCTGTAAATATATAGTAAATATCATAGATGACATTTACAGATGAAAAAAAACAAAAAAAAGTGCCACATGAAATACTAATTGGATTCTATAACTTTTTGATAGTCCTTTTATTTTTCATAAAGAGTTACTTTCAGTTTCGATTTAATTTTATCACTTTCACAAAATTTAAATTACAAAAACGGTAAACAAACAAAAAACAGTGTGCATGGGATTACCCAAATACCAGTTAGTAATAAAACTATCTCAATGCATAATCATATGAAATCTACTTTGAATGAAGAAAAATACTACCTATACATAAAGACACATAAAAGATTAGCAGTTTTTCTACTTATCACTAACATGTATGTAATATATTTTCTTAAAGCATGTAGTTCAAGCCACATAATTTTAGTACATCTGTGCAATAACTACAACTTAACTTACTCTGGGAGAACAGGTTTGGAGATGATAGCAGGTGGTGGGGTTGTGGTAGTAGTGGTGGTAGAATTGTCTGTGTAGTTTTTCTCCCAATCAAATGGATCACTGCTTCTCACACCTCGTCGTTTCATGCATCTTTCAAAGAGCCCTGCAAGCATATTGTAATCTGGACGTTGATAATAGTCTAGATTTCCAACGTGATCCAAGAATTGCCGAAAATCTGATGGCAAGTGTTTCAGAAGAAGACGATGATCATATTTTTCTTTCATCACACCAACCTAAAGGAAGAATAATGTTAAAGTTTTTCACAATAACAGACATATAGGGAATTCATAGAACAATAAAAAACAAAACAAAAAAAACTCTTCTTATAAGTATTTTCAACTCGTCATTTGACATTCCTTCAATAAAAATTATATTTTGTAAAGTGAAATCTTGTTAAAATGTTATAAATTATGTAAGTATTGAAAACCTCCAAAAATATTAAGAATTTATAAGATTTTAACTATTTCCCAGTCACATGTGATAACATGCCAATTTTCATTCTCATTAGAATCCAATAAACTTCCAAACGATATTGCACATTTTTGCCAATTCAACAGTTTAAGTTTATTACACAATTAACTATAACGTTTATCAGTCTTTACTTACATTACAAACCTATACTACCATTAAACACACTCACCTGTTCTTTATCTTTAATCTTTCTCCATGGCAACTGGCCATTCACAAATTCAACTAACATATAAAACAAAGACCACAAGTCGTCATGGCGACCCATCTCCTGTAAAACGAAAGATTAAATAATACTTGTAGAAACAATAACCTAACTTTAAAAGTAAAATAGTCTATTATGTGAATCATATAGGGCTTGAAAGTGTCATGGATATTCAAACATTCAGTACAATCTTCTAAAAATGTTAGGATTTTATACTAAATACTAACAAACATTAACATAATCTCCTTACACTATTTGCCCGATATGCTGTACTGATGCTATTACCCTGTGCTTGAAATATTACAGTACTATGTAAGAAAAAATATCCTCAGTTCTGTGATGTTCTTTTGATCATGATAAAAAAATGGAATAATGACTTGAATGAGAATACTTTAAGAAATCTTTGTATTTTCAAATGACAAACATTCATTTAAACAAAAAACATTATTCTAGGTTCTTAAACATTAGTGTCAAATAGTGACGGTTAACTACATTCAGCCTAAATAAATGTTCAAAGTCTTTAAAGTTTGTCTTATTTAGTTCCATTAACTATAACTTTCCACCAGCTGGTACTGTCTGTAAATACAGAATTGTAGTTTAATAAAAATTGGAGTAAACATTTCTTTTTGTACAGATTGACGACAGAAAATTTGGCTTTCATATTATCTAGTTAAGGCTGAAGTTTTGCAAGAATTACATGTTATCAAATTAAAAATTTAAACACTTTTAGTAGTAGAAGAAAGATAAGATACAATTTAAGAACTAATGGATTTTATACATGAAAAAGAGCTCTAGTTTGACATGTTTCTGAATTTTGACTTGCATAAATATTGTCCTTCTACCTGGCAAGGTCACAAAGACAAATATAACAATTAAATGTCCTAATTCCAAGACATATCCAATTAAGTTCATCTGTTTCCTTCCTTATAATATATTTACAAAGTCAGTCTTCCAGGATCATGACTTATTGTTACTGTAAAAACAAAGGATCTATAATTTGCATCAGATTCCTGAATTAATGACCCAGTACTAACCTAATGGAAGCAAACTTGTCATAAATAATGTAAAGGAAGTTTTCTCTGGAATAATGTTTGACGATAAGCAGAAAATTAAACAAAAATAATTAAATCAGAGATCTGTTTGATGAACTTGCAAACAAAAACAGTATCAAACAGCATGATGTATTCTGATGGTATTTAAAATAAATGTCCCCATTTTCCATAAAGTAAAAACTATGTCATGCTGTTGAAACATTTCATACTTATATTGACAGCTGTCATAAGCTGTTACTATTATACTTCCTATAATAAAAGTATAACTATTATACTTTAACTGGCTTAAAATAACTCCCTTAGCTATTTGATTTGAACTTGGAGATCGCAACTTTCCATCTGTAAGCGAAATAACTGAAAACCTGTACTAATAACAAGGCAGCATTATGTGTCATTTGGTAAATTAAAACTTTATTTTTCTATTGGTTATAAATTATGTAATACCAAACCTCAGAGAAAATTACTGGCAATTTGTGGAAAAGATGTGATAGGCAAGTGGATCTGACTTTCTAGATTATGTCTCTATAAACAAAGAAGACTGAAGGCTATGAAAATTGGATTATGCCTTAGTAATATCTATACTATAATAAGTAATTCAAGTTAAACTCAGGACATCAGAGAGGAGAGATGAATATAATGAAGAATGGGCAAGTTGGAGAGAACAAATGTCACGATACATATATAAAGGGAGATTGAGAATTTATTTACACATTTCCTTTTGAAACTGCAGAACTAAAACTTACATATAATATTAAAATTTTATTCAGTAACTATATTTTTTATGACAGGCTTATTGTACACATTGATAAAAAAAATAACATAATTAAATTCTGAATGTAACAAGGTAAAAAGTCGTGATATGCTTACTTTAACCTACTCGTAATAACATAGTTAAACAATAAAATGTTTCTTTTTTCTAGTAGTCAAATGTTTTGATCCAAAATCAATCATCTCACTATTGTGTGAGTTAAACTGCTTATTTGTACATATTTAAAGTTATTCTTTACCTTTCTGGCTATACATTTTGTTGTTGAGGTTTACTGCCAGATAACATTTGCCTCAGTGTGAAAAACTCGGGGGTTTGTTTTAAGCAGAAGCAGAGACTGTATCATTTATAACAAAAATATCAATATTAAGTGACCTTAAAACATACATAATTTAAGGTAGATAATTAAAAAATTATGTCAGATTAAACAAAATATTTTTGGAAGTATGTGGATAACCTTATAGTGCTAACTAGTATAGAAACTTGGAATTCAGTTTATATGAACAAATTATATATATTGCAAATCTAAAATATTATAATAAAGGAAAATCAAAGTAACAGTTGGAAAAAAAATACAAAACACAAAAAATCATCAAGAAAAAATGAAGAAATGCCTTAATAAAAAAAAAGATAAGGTTACATCAATAAAAGACAGAATGTTTACAAAATTTGTAAAGTAAAAAATGGAACACATGAGAAATTAAGAAAAAACCACACACACACAAATTGTAATAAAAGTACTTTGTAGAAAAAATCAATTTACTTACTTTATTTTTGTGTGCATTAATGGAAGCATATCTCACAGTTCCTCTAAATCCTGCTGCTGCTCGAGGAGGACGTACCTCTCCTGATGCTGTTACATATTGTCGTGCCAGTCCAAAATCTAACATGTAAACTTTTCGACAGCTCTGAGATTGGCGTCCCATGGAAAAGTTGGACTGTTGATGTTTAATATACTTTTATTATTATGGCTCTAAATATCTGTCTTTACAGAATTTAAAGTTGGCAGTTATATAACTGTTACATATGATTAAAGTTCAACATGAGTTGTACAAAGATTTGGTTTATTTAGATTTTAAAGTTACACCAAAGATGTATGTTTAACGTCTTCCCAAAAAATACTAACATTTTCACTTAAAGGAAAACAGTATATCTCTGTTAGAGAATGGTGTCTTGTCCAAATGTGTAAGAATTGGAAATTGAACAACGTTCATGTTGAGGTTGTTCTTTACTCATCATAAGTATCCTTTATTTATATTGGTATTCCAACGATATCTTTCACTGGCCTTACTAATTTACTTTTCAATCACCTCAATATCTCAACAGGCCATTTGAAATTTAAACTGGGATGAGGATTCTCATGGATGATTTTTCTTCAGTGAAAATGCAATGATATGTGGATTGATATTGGACTTTACTACAGCTTTACAGGCTATACAATAAAAGTAACTAATTAGTACTCTTCTGACATTTTTTCTAATCTTTTTGGAGGGTGGGGGTAATTGTTCCTCCTTTCCCCCACAAATGATATCCCTAACACTTTCATAAAATATACTTTGAAACATGACACTGGAGTAGCACTGATATCATTCCATCTAGTGGGATTTTAAAACCAGATTATCTACATCCCAAATAATACCTTACTTCTTTATAGAATGTTGAATACAGTTAGCAAGCAGATGGGCAATGAAACCCTAGATTTGGGTTGCCCAAATGATGGGGTGAATATCTTTATTATCTACTGTTACTCTGAAAAGGCATGAGTAAAGAAAAGATTCCTCTTTTAACAATGTGGACATATCCTGAAATGTTCCCTTGCTGCTTTAAATCCTCAAGGATTACTGATTAATATGCAGGTATGTATTAAGTGCCAAAGAATAAAAGTTCTAAAGTTCAATTACTTAACATGATTGTGTAACAAAACGTACTGGTTTAACATCTCTGTGAAGGAACCCCACTTCATGAATACTTTCTATGGCCCTCAAAATTTGCAGCCCCAAGCGAAGTGTAGTACTTAGGCTGAAAGCTCCACGGGGTTGGCTCCGTCGAAGTTCTGCAAGGTTTTTACCCTGAAGTTGCATCACCACATAGTTGAAACGATCATTACGGCCACAGCCAATGAATCTGCAAACGTGATCTTTGCCTACAATCACAAAAAAAAAAAAACAATTTTCAATTCTTTTATGAGTGAATTATAAGCAGGATGGTAGAAAGCATATATACTTTAATTATAGCCCATTTAGTGATATAAAAACAAATCGCAACCTAGTTTTAAGATATAAACACTGTGAGGTTTCTATTGGCTTTTAAGTGCAGAGTAAATTACTTTTTTCCCTCGTGTTACGTTTCATTTTCTCAGAACTGTTTTTCCAACCTTTAATTCCTGAGAAAACTAAGAGCCTATAAAAGAAATACTTTCATAACTCATATTGATCAATGACAGAGAACAAACATTTGTTAAAATAATATGATGACCTGACTGCAACGATGTAATATTCCAACAGATATTTGACATCCAGTATAAGATTCAAAATCAAAATATTGTGAATGGCATTAGCAAAATGACCATATGATAGTGAAAAAAAAAAATTTCCAACACTAAGAGCAATCTTTTAGAGCATTTTTATTTATTTTTTTGTATTTTTTGTTCTCCACGGATACATGAACTAGGACTTTCACATTTAATGCTGGATTTAAACTCCAATACTTTCAAGTGCCAGATCAAGTTTTCATAATTTTTGATATCCTAAGATGTTCATATAAACACATGTATATTCTTGTTGCCAAAATAATTTTTATTTAAAGATATGAGAGAGAATACAACAACAAAGAACACAAAAAGCAATCTACAGAATAATCCCCTTTGCTGATTATTTTACTGTGCATCATTCTTCATGTAAACTTAATATTCTTTTTGAACATTTTTTCATAACCAATGGAAAAAAATAGCTTTTTGTTATTGAATCTTCATAAAACAAATACTGACACTGCAACAATGACTTTATATTATTCAGCTTAATACTGAACCACACCTCATTATAGTTTATAGTAAGGTTGCAGAATAACTGTGCACACACACACACACACATAATGTACATCAAAATATTTGGTCAAGACACAAAGAATTTACTGTACAGCCAGCAAGAACATTCTCATGTAAGTTGTCACATACGTTAACCATGTAGAGTTAATTCAACACAAGTCCTCTTCAATTTTATATATATAAAGACTGTATCTTATGTGCATTACCTCTATGTCAGCTACACATTCACTGAAAGAATGTGTTACTTTATTCACTATAGTAGGAAAACAGTGAATTGAAAGTACATCACTCAACTAAAATAAGCTTTGATTCAAAGAGATGATACAGTTGATATTTTAAATCGGTCACACAAACACTATGATATAAACTGTCTTACGATATTTTAAAACAACTTAATATTTTCTCCTTTTTTTTTAAGTGTTTCTTTAGTATAGTTTTATAGCTTCATATAGTTCAAAGACACGGATAACTTTAAAAAAACACTGTAGCTTATGACTTTGAGCAATAAAGTTTCATATTAACATTGACTCTATATATACCAAAAGCTTAATAGAGTTCAGCAGGCAGACTATGGAAAGTATGATAATCAAATGTTATTACCATATATAAGCTGTGAAATTTAACTAGTTTAATATTAATGGAACATGTATATTAAGTCTGAAGTCACAGTATGGAAATATTTCACATTCTCAAATTATAGACAGCTAGAAACTACTCTGTATAAACTGTTAACTTTCTCTATCCATAAAGACAACAAGAACATGCCTTATGTAATTGGTTTAAACTGTTGTTTTTAAGTGTTTCTTTAGTATAGTTTTATAGCTTCATATAGTTCAAAGACACAGATAACTTTAAAAAAACACTGTAGCTTATTAGCTTATGACTTTGAGCAATAAAGTTTCATATTAACATTGACTCTATATATGCCAAAAGCTTAATAGAGTTCAGCAGGTAGACTATGGAAAGTATGATAATCAAATGTTATTACCATATATAAGCTGTGAAATTTAACTAGTTTAATATTAATGGAACATGTATATTAAGTCTGAAGTCACAGTATGGAAATGTAGCATAACTTAAAAAATAATTTAACTATCATCTAGGTATATAACTTTCAAATATGTATATCAGCTTAGAACAAATTGTTTTATTCATCGAAATGAAAAACAATTAACAAATAAAGCCTGAATTATCAACTAATTAAAGATGAATGACCACTTTTTTTGGGATCTCTAATATCCGCATTATTTTGTATTTTATTCATAATGTTATTCTGTACCAATTATACAAAATATTTTGTTTGCACCACTAGTGCCACTATTGATTATATAAGAAAGTTTTCCTGCCGCGGGGAGAAATTAGTTGGAGAAATAAAAAGTCGAGTATGTGTGTGTGTGTTTGAGAAAGTTGTTACTGAGAAAATATTACATTTGGGATGAGGATGGGAATCGACTTTCTAGCCGACTATGTCTAAAATATTAAATTTGACTTCTATTGAGCTTTGACTGCTTGAACTAAAGCAGTATTTCTCAATGGTGGAAATGCTGGAAAGAGCAGTTCACGGGGTAGAAAAGGACTTTACTTCTCCATGTAATCAGACCTTCATGCCATGACATTTTCTCCCCCTTCACAGACACGGGAGATACCTACCAGGCAGCTTTATCATGTGAATATGGAGATTTAAATGATGACATGGTCAGGGAACAAGTTATAGATAAGTGTAAATCTTACAACTTACATACAAGTTTGTAGAGACAAGAAGGTCTGACTTTAAAAATAGTGTTAGAGATCAGTCAAGCAGCAAAAATAGTAAACCAGCAGGCAGCCTGGATAGAAGATAATGGAGTAGAAACCAGAAAAACAGTGAGCTCGCGTGATAAGCACAGTACATCAAGGCTGCGTTCTTCTTCAATACATAAAACAGACTTTTGTGCCAAAGGAAGGCCACCAGTTCATTGTTACTGCTGTGGTTATACAAATCACAAAGTTCACAATTGCCATGTGGCTAAAGACAAGGTTTGCAATAAATGTCATTTTCAAGGGCATCTCGCTGCCATGTGCAGGACTAAGAATTTTTCAAAACAGGATAACTATTCTGCTTGTAATAAAAAAGGTGAATTATGTGACTGATTATAATTTGCATGATGGTACAGAGTTGTCAGCAGAGGAATGTGTTTTTGTCTATAAGCATTGGGTGTGAGTTGTAATGTTGTAAATGAAAGTGTCTGGAATTATCTCAGACAACGTGGTATTTCATGCACACCCGATTTCGCTCACAAAAACCTCTATGTGTATGGAAGTTAAACCTCGGAAATTTTTGTTAAACCTGCAGATAGCAAAGTGATTAGAGTTGAGTATTTCATAGCTAAAGGTGCTGGTCAATCTTTCTTAGGCCGTAACACTGCACTACAATTAGGTGCATTGAATATGGGCTTTCAACACTGTCTGTCCATTGGCACGGAGTCCAATATTGACGGTATTCTGAGTAAATACCCTGAATGTTTTGGTGACATTGGTAAATTAAGATCTCTATTGAGCCTATCATTAGATTGAGCTCAGTGAGAATTCTAGAGAGATCACAACATATGTAACTCATAAAGATCTTTACTGTTATAAATGACTTATGTTCGGTATTTGTTCAGCTCCCGAAACTTATCAGCACATCATTAGGCAAAGTTTGCAGGGATGTGAAGGTGCTGAGAATATCTCAAACAATATTATCGTATATAGGCATACTCACAGTGAGCATAATTAGAAGCTTAAAGAGAAAGGTTTGATCCTAAACAAAGATAAGCCATAGTTCAGACTTTCACAGCTTGTGTTCATGGGACACTTGTTAACCAAAAAAGGTATTGGTCCAAATGCTACTTGTATTCAAGCTGTCAAAGACACAAAAATTCTGGAAATGCCAATGGAAGTTCTTAGTTTTCTAGGCTTAGTTAATTTCTGTTCTCGTTATATTCCAGGTTTAGCTACACTTCCATAACTGTTGTGTAGGTTAACACACAAAAACATTAGGTTTGTTTGAAGTGACTAACAACAGAAGTCGTTTGATGCATTAAAATAAAAAAATGGCACCTACAGAATTTTTGGCATATTTAGATCCAAACACTAAAACCCAAGTAATCTGTGATGCAAGCCCAGTGGGTCTGGGGGTCATTTTAACTCGGGAACAACATGGTCAATTCAAAGTCATATCATATGCTAGTAATAGCTTATAAGATGCTGAGCAGTGCTATTCTCAAACTGAAAAAGAGGCACTATCACTTGTTCAGGCATGTTAATGTTTTCATTTCTATTTGTAGAAGACTTTGTTCAAATTGATCATAGATCATAAGCCACTTGAGTTCATCTACTCGCAAAAATCAAAGCCCTCATTCATGCATAGAATAGTAGGGTTTGTGTTTGCAACCTTATTCCTTCACTGTACAGTATAAACCAGGTTGACAGAAAGCCACAGATTCATTGTCTCAAAATGTCATGATAGATAATTCATGGAATGTTGTGGAAGTGTATATCTATTCTGTTGCAAAATCTGCAGTACCTAAAGTGCTCACAAATCACCAAGTAGAACAAATCTCTGCTGATGATCTAGATTTAACTAATTTGTGGAAGTGTATCCAAGTAGATGCTACAGATAATGCAAGATTGTTATACAAGATGGTATTTCCTGAACTAACATGTTTGGGTAAGTTAGTGTTACATGGTTCTAAATTAGTTATACCTCAAAAGTTATTACTTTAGTGCATGAAGGCCATCAGGGCATTGTTAAGACTAAAGCTAGGTTACGAATAAACAAGTTGAAAATTTATGTAAAACTTGTCATTAATGTCACGTTGTCAGTCCGTTGTCAAAACCAGAACCATTACAGATCACTCCTTTGCCAGAGCACCCTTGGCAACATGTAGGAGCAGATTTATTAGGACCATTTTCAAACTGAAGAAAGTATTCTCATAGTTGTAGAACTAGCTCTCATGAAATCTATCACTACAGAGAAGTTTCTAGATAATTCAGATAGTATGTTTGCCCATGATGGTCTACCAGAAATAGTACAGACAAACAACAGAAGACAGTTTACTTCAGATGCTTTAAGAACATAC